AATGCCGGCCGGTCATGGTCTCAGGTCGCGAACTAGGGATCTGTTCTCCAGACCCTTCAGGAAGAAGGGTTACATCCCGTTGACGACATATCTGAGGACTTACAAGATCGGCGACTATGTCGATGTCAAGGTGAACGGCGCCGTTCACAAGGGTATGCCCCACAAGTTCTACCATGGCCGCACTGGTCGCGTCTGGAACGTCACCAAGCGCGCCATCGGAGTCGAGATCAACAAGCAGGTTCGATAAATTTTTAATATTTTCTCTCTATCGTAACATCATTTACGGGTTCCTCTCAAGTGAGCAATTCAGACTTACAAAGTTTGGTTTTTAGGTTTAATTTCAGTTCATCTTTATGGGTATAAATGGATGTTAATGGAACTTGTCTGGATTTTTACAGTATTTTTGTTTTTACCACTGTTTTAATGTATTTATGTGAACATAAATGTCTGCGGTTGAAGATGATTTTTATGATGTTTTCTTACGAGGTTTAATGCCATTTGTTGTTCAATTCTTGGGTATTACATGGGACTCAATTGAATTATTTGTTTGGTTTGTGTAAATTATTCAACTTCGTGTGATTTGAGAATGTATCGATGCATATTACATTGTAGCATTTGGGTGGCATTAAGTTTTTGGCTTTCAAGTCCCTGTAATGGGAGTCCTGCGTTTTTGCCTTTGGTTATGAATATATTTTCTGGTTGTTTTAGTGGTGTTATTGTTTGAACTTAGCTCTTAAGCGTTCTTTGGAATCCAGGTGGGAAACAGGATTATCAGGAAGAGGATCCATGTGAGAGTGGAGCATGTTCAGCCTTCAAGGTGTACTGAGGAATTCAAGCTCAGGAAGACAAAGAATGATCAACTGAAGGCAGAAGCTAAGGCAAAAGGAGAGGTCATTAGCACAAAGAGACAACCGGAAGGTCCCAAGCCTGGTTTCATGGTGGAAGGTGCTAAGCTGGAGACTGTAACCCCCATTCCATATGATGTTGTTAATGATCTCAAGGGCGGTTATTAGATTCAGCTCTGTAGTTTTTGTTTATTTGCAGCAAACAATTTACGCATGATTAATTTGATCCTGCTGCTTTCTTTAGTATTTTACATTTCATCAAAAAAGGTAAGATTATCTTTCAATTTTGAGACAATGAATGTTTTCAATTGAGAACTTGTTTTGTTGACATATGATATTCACTTTCTAAACCATATTCTGTCATCTAAGTGAGTGTTTCCTTTGTAATTGATTATTTACTTATAAACTAGAATCGAAGTCGATGATCAGAGAAGTCCTGAGATCATCTTGTTTGCGGAGAATTGTTGATGGAAAATCTTTCTAACTTATCTTTGAAAGATAAACGGTGTATCATTTTAGCATTGTGAGCTGTGAAAGTCTCTCTGAATCAAGCTTTTCTGTTTGTCATATTTGGATGAGGAATTTTCACCAAATTTTATGGTGCAAGTCCTGAACTTATACAGAAGGTGTCTTTAGCCATGCTCAAGACAAGGTGTAGGCAAAAACATGATCTGTCCTCATATCAAAATTTGGCAGAAAGTTTAGGTGAAAACATGATCTGAGGCAATTTTGGGACTTAAAATGTTATCCAGTCTTTATTCAATAATCAAATTTCGCCTTGGTCTCTGTGTTTATGCCAACATTTCATGTCCTCATTTCAAACATAACTATTTATTTATTAATATCAACGGATCTTCAGGCGTCGGAAACTGATTCTTTGCAAGGGTGAAACAATATAACAGCACCTTAAACTAAAAGGCTTAATTAGCCAAGAATCTGGTTTCTGAGAAAAGTTTGAAAGTTTATAATAGCAGTGGTAAGAAGTATCAGCAAAGAAAAGAATATGTCGCGAAAAGAAGAAGCTTGTCACAAGTACTACAGGGAATGTGACTTGGGGTTCAACGACACAATTTATTCTTTGTTAAGACTACCGCTTTAAGCAATCATTTGTTTTGGTACTTCCAAGCTAATCTCGCCCTTATCTTTAATAGCAAGATCTTGAGAACACCCATCTCCCACTCTGCAAATTAATCCCTCTACTCTGAACCTCCAGGAAGGTTAAAGATGAGGATATCCTGGATGCTCTTCCCTCTTTTGCTTCACCTTCTTCTCCTCTCAGGTTGTCTCGCTTAACCTTCTATAGCAACTAATTATTCAGCTTTTCTTACTGTTCGTATCTCTTCACTTCTATCCGTGTTTTCTTTTTATACGATGTCAGTTAGTTATATAACACTGATATTTTAGAGAAAATTGTTTAGAAGGGAGTTATAAATTGACTGATTGTGTGATGTTTTCCTTTTCTCTTTGTTTTTCTTTCTCTTAATAGTTGTGTTTAGCCTAGCATCAGCAACCTATTATGCGCCTGTGGGAAGGATCCCTGAGCATACCTGTCAGAAGATCATCCACTCAAAGAGATGTGATACCTGGAAATGCACCCAAGAGTGTTCTAAAAAACCTGCTGGAGTGGGACAATGCAGAGGCTTCATTTGCTTCTGCACATATTACTGTAAGGACCCCCCAAAGTGATGCCTTTTCCTTCTCCCATGTCGCTTTGAATTTTGTACATTAAGGTTTAAGGTTTTATTGTTAGAAGAGAAGATAAACCAGGTGAAAAATTGCTTAATTTAATCCCTTTTTTTTTTATTTTTTTATTTTTTGTTTTTTTGCCCTCTGTTCTGATCATTCAATATTATGTAGCAAAGCCATCAGATTAAACATTCCAGTCTCAAATGCTTCTAGGTTCTTTGAAATAGAAAACAAATGGTGTATTGTTAACGACCTAAGCTGTTAGTGATAATATTTTCTTTAAGTGGAGCAAGAAATCTTAAATTTGAGTAGTGAGCATACAAATAGATTGGATAAAATAGGAGAGAGGGTTTTTTTTATTGTATAATTCAAAAAAAAAAGAAGAAGAAGATATCTTGACATTAAAATTACTAGAATATCTAATTACAATTATCATTTAAGTGGAGGCTCATTTAAATGATAGTTGTTCATTTAAATGATAGTTGTGCCTCACTTAAATAATGGTTGTGATTGGACATTCTAATAATTTTAATGTCGAGACGTTCTGATTTTTTGCATGCTCTTTAAAATTTTAAAAATAATATATTTTAAAACACTAAGCTCTTTATTATTAAATTTATTTTTTAAGGACATGTTATTAATGCCTCTGAATCAAAAGTTCTTATCCTACGTATGAGAAACATATTTTATAAGACTTATTTTAATCATCAGCCCCGCAGGTCCAGACGCAAACACAAGAATAATCTGTTTGGGCTTTATTCGAGATGCATTGTCCACCATACTGATGATGCTTTTGATAGCACTTTTGGCCACAATCATAAAGAGTACATCCACTTGAATATAATGTTTCTATGCATCTCTTTTGTGCATTAGCTTGAGGCACCATCGACACCACTGCATTTATTAAGGAAAAAAAAAAAAGTTGGAACGAGATTCATTATTAGAATATAACCAACTAAATCACTAATTCTTTAAAAAAAAAATTATCCATATTTTATGTAGTTTTGAGGAAACTAATTAAGCAAATAAGATGAGAGGGTTATCGGGGGTGGGGGTAAATGAACAAACCAGATAGAAGAAGCACAAGGAGAAGTAAATAGGTGAATGTAAACTTGGCCATCTCTAGCTAGCAGGGTTGAAGAGGAGCAATACTATCTCTTTCTTTTTCTTTTTCCTTTGAGATTTGTTGGACTACTTTAATAAAAAAAATACATATTTATAGGCAATTGAAATAAAGTTTAATGAGCAACGGGCAATCGTTTCATTTTTAGGTATAAAGGCATGGTTTATTTAATTTGTTTAACAGTTAGGGTGGGCTAGTTTGTCGACACTTGATACTAATCCTTCTTAGTCATGTTAAAGGCAACTCATTTTTCCTCAAACTTCAACCAACAAGGTGAATTAAAGCATGATTTATTTACACTTATTTAACGTTACCGTTGCACCCTCAGTTATACCTACTTAATTCCTAATTTCCGTTTTGCAGCTCCTCCCTTATAAAGAGTCAGCATGTGCATATGTACACTAACATACACACACATCACTCCGACAAACTCATTGACTTATATACAGGAATGTCAGAAATCTATGGGAAAGAAAACTTACAGTCTACAATAAGGGACGCGATTGCTGGACACAAGAGGATCAAATCAAAATTCTGCTTCGATCTTAGGTAATCAGCGATGAATCTAACAATTCGAAAATCAATTTAAAGATAAAAAAAAAAATATTATTAAATATCAGAAATCACAAAAGGAGAAGGATAAGAATAGGCTCACCTGGATGGAGAAACCGTGACATGGAGAAGGGCGCTGATAAGGTGCATTTTAGTTTGGCAAAACCCCTACTTGCACCATGTACATTTAATTATTTTTTTTAATAGTCAACATTTTTTTATAATTTTCACTCTTAATTAATATTCTTTATAATTTAAAATCTATATAAAAATCTTAAATTAGTAACCAAGGTGCAAATAAATTGTTTGATTGTTAAAATTTTGATGAATTTTTTTATAGATTTGAAATTATAAAAGATGTTAATAAAAAGTAAAAATTTTTATATGTGTTGATTATGAAAAAAATAATACATATCGTGCAATTATAGAGTATGGCCTTTTACTTTTTTTGTTGTTGTTGTTCTTTCTTTTTTTTTCAACATTGGTTAGCCTGATCACTGCCGGGCATCACGTCCTCTTCCTGTTTAGCACCAGAACCGCCTTCCGTGCAGACATTCTCTCTAGCACTTGGGGAATTCTAGGGTTCTCTGCAGCTCCGTTGCTTACCGGCGTCTTGAGTGAATGAGATGAGCGAGATAATCAGTTTTCAGGGGTTGATATTTGAGTTTGACAGCCCCTTTTTTTTATTATTATTTTTTTAATTTTTTATGGACAGTTTGACAGCCCTAGTGAGTTGGTTAGATTGATGTATAATTAGTTTATAGGGTTTGAGATATATTTTCTTAAATAACATATTTTAATGGCAAAACCATAAGTTAAGCCCCTGAACTAACCCCAGAATCGCTATTAAGCCCCTAGACTTTAATTCACTCAGTTAAGCCCTTGAACTTTGGGATCAAAGCAATCAAGCCCTTCTTCTTACGCTATTAAGCCCCTAAACTTTAATTTTTAAAATAAATTGCTTAAGAAGAAGGGTTTAATTGCTTTGATCCCAGAGTTCAAGGGCTTAACTGCATCAATTAAAGTCTAGAGGCTTAATAGCGATTCTAGGGTTAGTTTGGGGGCTTAACTTATGGTTTTGCCTATTTTAATTGTGAAACCCACACGTTGTAAGTGGTAAAATTTAGCTATGGATTTATTACAAAATATAGCTATTTCTAGTAATGCTGCTGCAAATAGATATTTCCCATCGTTACATTGCCCAACTATGGCTACTTAGCTATAGTAAGCAAAAGTTATAACAAATAAACATGTATTAGCTTCGGGAGGCTGGCATCAGTCACTGACTAATTATAAATAGCTACACGGTAACACGGAACATGTTTCATAGCTATTGTTATCGTAGAGCAACATTTTTAATACCCATAGCCAGCTCTAGCGGGACCCGATAGATTAATAATGTGTATCTAATATCTTAATTTATATCAAGGTTCAAGTTTTTTTAGGGATAATTATAATATTTTTCATACTCTTAAAATTCTCCCTATTAAAAAATATAAAAGACCATGGCCAAGATTTCGCAGCTATACATGTTTTATGTAGCAGTGGCTTCCTAGTTTAGGTGTGAATAACTTACTTTTTAATTAGATCGAGAAAGGATTAATATTGAGATATAGGTAAATTGATATGAAAACACCCTAATTGTTAAAAAAGAAAAAAGAGAGTAATAGATTCCATGTTTAATCCCTTGATAATTTTACTAATAATCAATTTTATTGGATTTGTATGCAAGGAACAAATAACATGCGGATGTGGATTGCTTGAAATGTGCAAACGAAGGCTTAAGCTTTACAACAAATTTATTAGTTTGAGTTAAAGGAGTTTAGTTTTCATTAAGTAAAGTTTTAAATTCAAATTTTGTAAATAGAGAAAGAGGTGTTAGGAGAGTTTCCTTGATTTAACGCGATTTGATTTTGAATTAGTTAAAATTCAATATAACTTTTAGATGCCAAAATGTTAATACAAAAAAAAAAAAAAAAAAAAAAAGCCTAAACTTTACATTAATGAGTGCTATGCCTCTTGAGATTACATGAAATGTAGTAAGGAACGGTTAGGTTGAAGGCCAATTCTACTAAAAAGTTTAGATTGAAAAAGCAGTAAAGAAAGTACCATATAAAAAATTAAAAATAATTATACGAAAAAATTAATGAATTTTGTAATAAAATTTTGTTAAAATTTTAATTAGTTTAGTTAAAGAGGTTTTATTGAGTCTCAACTTTTCCATTTGACAAGACTCACAATGTTAGAAATTCAAGCTAATTAACAAGTGTTGTGAAGATAATTTGCATAATTTATGACAAGATTCACAATGTTGCATATATGTTCCATTTATATCTATATAACATATGGCATGCATTAATTTTTAGAGTCTCAATAACACTATAGACATTCTGTAAGAAAAAAAAAAAGTGTTTTATTTCATAATTTCATAATTTGATAATGTCAAACATGCCAATCCCATTTCAAAGCGTCATTTCCAGATGCACAAGTTAGTTCTGCCAAAAAAAAAAAAAATGTAAAAATTAAAGAAGGGTTAGAATTCGTGGGAAATCATAGCTATTATGCCACCAAGATATAACAATCCAAGTCACCCTAAATCGAGATACAACCCTTAGTGAAGACCTCACCTCCACAACACAATATATATATATATATATATATATATATACCGGCTTTTACAATTTAGGTTGAAAAACTTAATGCATGTTTATGAACTTGAATTTGGTTAGTGTGCATTTGAATCTGGAATTTTAAATTTAAATACATTATTTGTTTTTATTTAAATGTAATGTATTTGAATTTTGTCTAAATACCATATATTTGAAACATTGTATTTCAAAGTTAAAACTACATGTATTTTAAATACATCCTTTAACCCATAAATTTCAATTCTACATTCTTGTATGTCATCAAAATAATTAAAAGAGAGTTTAATTTAACAAGAAATTCAATTTTAAATGCACTACATTTTAATATATTCAAATAACATATTTAAATATACATGTATTTAAAATTTATTTTTTAAGATTAATTCAAACAATATATTTTAAAATACATATATTTAAAATTTATGTATTTTAAATACATATATTTTAAATACATACATCAAATACAAATACGTATTTTCAAATACAACCTTAATGTGAAACGGATGTTGGTGTATTGTGGTAATACAATCGATATTCTTTCCCATCACACATTTGAAAAATGAGACTCGACGAAATTCAGCTTAGAAGAAATAAAATACAATGAACGTCTATCGGTCAGACAAACATGTCAATCCCATTGGAAAGTGTCGTCTCCGATTAGCAAGAGAATGACACTCTGTCAAATTACCACAATAATAGGGTGTTGGTGTTGGTGTCGGTGTGGTGTCAGTTATCAACTTATCCTACAATGTTCTCCCTTTGCATAGGTAGCCTCGACTCCTTAACCAGTATATTTTCCATCGCCTCATTTGAAACTTTGGTTTCCAACTCATAATAATAGTGGGATATCTTCAAAATTAAGCTCAATATAATAATAGTGTTGCATATACATGACACCAGTAAAGCCTTTTGAATTGCCATACTTCAGTTTCAAGCTATCCCGCAAGGAGTTGGAAAATCAATAGCATCATCATTTGGTATCATTGTAAAAAATATTTTAAAAAATGGATTAATGGATCATGAAAATGAAAGCTTATAAAACATAAGATATAAAAAAAAAAAAAAACTAATTTTTTTTTTCTTTTAGTCCAGACTGACTTTTTTTGCCAGCCCAGACTAACAAACCACTTTTCTTAAGTAAAGACCATTACTGAGAGAAAGTTATTGTATAATAAATGTGATAGAAAACATAGATTGATTAGTTATTGATATTTATAACAGTAAAAAAAATTTTATTCGATACATTATTTACATTATAAATATAACTATATATTGTATTGCATATGTAATACCATTTTATAATATAAAGAAAAATAGTTATATATACGTTGTGAAAAATATAAACGTAATAATAAAAAATAAATAGTATCCATCTATTTTACATCGTAAAAAATACCAATAATTTATTGGTCCAAGTGAAAAGAACCCAATTTCTTTAAAGAAGGTTTCACGTTCAAGTCTTGTAAATGGAAAAACAAGTATTGAGAAAACTTCCCTCTAATGAGATCTAATGCTATTCGATTTCAAATTAATCAGGATCCAATGTGATTACCGAATATCTTGAGGTTAGTAAAAAAAAAATTAATGGTAAAAAATAATTTCATATATTATTTACATGATAAATATAGCTATATATTGTACAATATAATAACATTTTTATTATGTAAAGAAAAATAGCTATATCAAGAAAACATTCTGAAAAATATGAATGTAATAATAATAAAAAAAAGTTGGCCAAAAAAATATGAAAAAAAAAAATTCAAACACAACAAATATAAATAAAATTATTAATAGAAAATAGAATGATATAACTACATTTTGTACCATATAATACCATTTTCTTCTGTACAGATAAATAAGTTCTTCAAGAA